TTAACATTTAAATATATACTAATATCATTAGTGAATGCATGTAGACTTAAAATAAACGCATTTTATTTTTTAGTTGATTCAATATTCACGTCATTATATAATACGTGTCGCGGGCACATACTTATAAAAATATATTTTTTATAATTATTTTTTTATTAAAATTAAAAACATAAAACTGAAAAAAAGAAAAGTACTTAATCCGTAGAAAACAGTTTCAAGTGGGCTTATAATGTGAACATTGTCAAATGGGTTGAATGTGAAATATATTTTTTTAGGTTTTATCTTTATAATTTTTTATTAAAAAAATTAATCTCGAATGTCACATCATTCAATATATAATATTTAATATGAATATTAATTCAAGATAAAAACGACACATATCAAATTTTAGTTTACATAGTATCTAGTAACGGTGTTAGTATATATTAATGATCATAAACAAAATCAAAATTTTAAAAAAATATTAAGACTACAATTGTATAAAGAAAATAGTAAATAAATTAATTTAAATAAATTAAAATAATAGATTAACTAATTTAATATTTTGACCTAAGAGATTATAGATTTGAATTAAGATATATGTACTTATTAAAAAATTATATTATAATTAATATATATTATTATCTAATTAATAAAATGTATAAATGTTTGTTAAAATAAAATATTAAAGTTTTTAGATGTAATAACCAGATCCAGAATTTATCCCGGGATTAATTTTAAAAATTTAAAATATATACATAAAAATATAATTTTGAAATTTATAAATTTTTATTTAATGTGAAATTATAAAAAAAAAATAGGTGGAGGATAAAATTGAAAATAATTTTAAAAAAAATGAGTAAAAATTTGGGATCGGTGAGTATTTTTAAAAGAAGAATCGAAAATTAAGGGTTAAAACATAAATAAGAAAAATTGTACAACGTAAAACTGCTCAGTCAATAGCCTCGACGAACTGGAGTGCCAAGCTGCGTGGCAAGACACGCCGACTCGGTGCCACGCGGGAGGCTATGCTGGCAATCTGCGTGCTTGCGATCGGACGACCCGAATGCGTTTCCGTACGAGTGGACGGTCCAGATCCGTTTCCTCCTCAAACGCAATCGAACGGTCGCGATTAAACGCGATGAATGGTCCAGATTTATTCTATCTTTAAACACGATCGTACGGTCAGTATTAAATTACGATGAACGGTCCATATTTATTTCTTCTTTAAACACGATCGGACAGTCAAGATCAAAAGCGATAAACGGTATAGATTTAAGGGAGACGAGTATAAATATATCGCATCACACCGAACCCAAACTCTGGCTGTCAGCCTCTCACTGGAGAAGAAGAAGCAGTCGCTGGAGAAGAGAGCAGATCATCGTCCGCTGCTACACCGGAGCCACCTTCAACCGCAAAAGAGGTAAAAATTCTCATATCTGCTCATAATTTGATTCCGAACACCTCAATGACCAAATCAGAGCAAAAGAAATGGCGAATGAGTCAAAAATTGCGAACAAATCCCGGTGGCACCGCCACGGGCAAAAATCAAAACGACATCCGATGAGCCCCTTTTCGTTTTCTGTTTCGTGCGATTTTTCCACCATCATGTTCACCGTTCTATTTTCTACAGGTTGACCACAGAAAAATGCTCAACCGCGAAGGTAAGCCGGCGAAGCTGCTGAATCGAAAAATTTCGCTACTGGTAAATTTTTATTTTTTGACTTTTTTTCGGCTCACCGAGACCCCTAACGTATTTTCTCACAGTGATGAGTATAAAACCGGCCGAAATCGAACAAAACTGGCTAAAAACGACCAGACCGAGATAAACCACTGTCACGACGGTGGTGCCATCACCGAAGCACGACAGTGCTGCCACGCCGAAATTTTGAAATTGGTCGGAAAAGATTTTTAACACTAATTTTAAATTTTTTGGTGTATTTTTAAGTACGTGAAACATGTCTTAATCTCCGCAAGAAAATTTAAGAAACAGGAGAACCGCCTGTAGGCGCAATTGAAAGTTTGGTATTTCGGACACTGATTCGGGTAAGAATCCATCACCTTATTCTATGTTATGAAATTGATGTTTAATTATCAATAATACGGTATTTTGCATAATTTAAAAAACTTCAATAATTAATTATAGGTTATTAATGGAGTCATAACTGATTATTTACTGTTGTTTGTTTTATTTAACCGATTGTTTGATTTTACAGCTTTAAATGCATAATAATATAGTATAGTTGGTAAAATAATTCAGTTGTATTTTCTTGATGCATGTATTATTTGTCTTGGGCTAATTTATGGTTAAATTATAAAACTGAAAATTAAATGTAAATAGAAAATTGATTGGTTAAATGAATGAATAAATGGTTAGCCTTACTGGATATCTTGGAAAATGGTTGATGGATCGGGTACATAGGGAATCCTACCGTGAACGTCGCCTTATACCGAACGAGATATCGAGAATTGGTATCTTTGACTTTCATACTAGACGGGGTATGAGGACGACCCGTTTCACCCTTATACCGGACGGGGTATGGATACGGTTAGTTAGTTAACAATGTTGAATAATGGTTCATGCGTAGTAGGACATCCCTATGGACCCTTAAGGATACCAGTAGACAAATAAAGATGAAAAGTTACTGTTATTGCTCACTTGAATATAAAATTGAAATATTTTTTTCTTTATTGTCTCTATAGGTCGATTTTGAAAATCTCGCAAACGGTAAATATATGCAATAAATAATATTTTTTTTACGATAAATGAATTTAATTAAAGTAAGAATTTCATTAGTTGTTTTTATAATTTTTAGCAACCTTTAGTTTCTGTAACGGTGAGTAATATGATATTCTTATTTGGTAATGTAGCTCACCCTTTCATTACCTATTTCATATCAAGAGTAACAAGACCCAGATTCTAATCAACAAGAAAGTTGCGAATAGTTTACAATCCGAACTCCTTTTAAACACTAGTGAATATCGTTCTATAATGCTTAATATATTGTCTTTTATTTATTTTATTGATTTTATTTGTTATTTTAGAAAGGTCGTTCCCGTAATCCTATTGGGTATTATAAATTATTGTGTAAGGAATATAAATCATAAACTTTGCTGTTTCACTTTCGCATTTAATTTATGATTTTATTTTTTTTTAAATTTCAGCCATTCATATTAAAACCAAATAAATTCTAGAATAAGAAAAATATACATGATTAAATTTATGTGTGATGCAAGGAAGAGCATGATTAACGACTTGTTTCAACATTTATTACTGTCAAATCTTTCATAAATTATTTGGTCTACAAATCTAATATTTTTATAATATCTAAAACTATCTTAATACAAAATCTACATTCAATTAATTTAGATTTTGTAATTATGCTGAAAAAATGTTGAACATACTAAACTAATACAATTAAAAGTTAATAATTATTAACAAAACGGTGGTATAGTAATTAAAATTTATATATTTAATTTTTTTTTGATATATTATGAGCTGCAGTAATTAAATTATATTAAAATTTATTATATTTTTAAATAAAATAAATATTATATAAAGATTAATTTTTTTTAATTAAAATTATAATAAAGGATTAATTACACGGGATAATTAAGTGATCTTTTCTAATAGTATGTGAGTTGTAAAATAAATTATTAAAGAGAAAAAAATATTAATATAAATTACTCAGAAGAGTGAATTGAATTAATCCAACTACTCAATTTAATTACAGCAGCTGGGAACTTCAAAAAATCTGTGATTCTCATTCATTATCATGTCATGATATGCATCTCATTTAAACTATAGATATATATATATATACACACACACACATTTTTCTGAGAGGAAAAAATATATGATTATGATCAGATCAAAATGTTTTGATTTGTATAAATAAAATATTATGATCAAGAAAGGAAAAAAGAACATGCTAACTTTATATATTTTAACAAATTAGGAAACTAATTTTCTAAATTTGAAATTTGTTATAATTTAAATATCAAATGTTTCTTTAAAAATGCAGAGACTGTTTAGTATACACCAGAAGTTAATTCTACTCGATTCCTCCTTGAAGATGAGTAAATCTAAATGCGACGTGTTTGTATATATAAATATATGTATATATATACCCGTACACACGCACATATATATGTATGGAAAGTGCAAGTAGATATATTAATACTGAATTACTGATACCGGATTCCGATACACGGAAAGAAAACCGGATCGGAGATTATTATTTATCGTCATAGGATCGGAGAATAGCTCCGCACAAGGTACAGATGATGGCGCGCCAAGATTTCCAATAAAACGGCAAGTAACAAAACCTCATCGCCGTCTTCATTTCAGCAACACTGGCTCCGCCGCCGCACCGGGAGCAAATCCCCGCCGCCGGCTTGCTTCTCCTTACTTTTCTCGTCTGATCCACCAGGAAACAGTACACTACCATGGCGCTTCGATTGGATTTTTTCTCGGATTTGAAATTAGTGTTTTCTGTTTGGGGAAGAGGAGTGATTGTGGTAGTACTTTTGCAGGGAGAAGTAACTGGTTTATAGTACTAGTCTGAAGAGTGAGGGAAGTGCTAAATATCGATCAACTTTTCTGAGCATATTGATTATGAACCATAGGATGTGTCGACTTCCGAGGTTAGAGTTGTTCGGTGTTTAGTCTCCATGGAACAATGTGGAGCGTACACGTGGAAGGGGTAATGAACGGACGGTTGATGGGATATGAAGTATGGTAGGGTAATTAAGTAGAGGACAGGAGATGTCAGGGCAGTTTGGTCGAAGAGAAAATGTGGATGGCAGTTGGTTGGTGATTCCTTGACTGTTTGGATTTTTCTATTCCTTCTCATTTTATAGACCGTACAACGAAGATCTTTTACCGAAAAAAGTTTGACTTTTATTTTTTAATATATTTTTTTCTTTTGACCTTATTTAAGACCATTATATTTATTAATTTTAAATAGTTTTGATAATATATATAATAATTTATTTAAAAATTTTAAATTATTTGAATTTTAAAATAGAAAAAAGAAAATTTAAATTTAATTAACTACAAACCTACATTTTATAAACTTTAGATGTAAAAATAATTTTAACAATATACAGTAGTATTTATTTAAATTTTTTAAATATAAAATAATATTAATATTATAATATATATATATGTATATGTGTGGGTATGTATGTGTGTTTGAGTAGGCGGGTACTGAACAAGACTCATGTAACCGTTGGAAGTGTCAAAATATAGTTTGTTGTCTTCAACTCTGGGCTGCGTCGTCTCATGAATCTTCTCTTCAAACGCCATTGTAGCTCTCTTGCCTCTCTCAATCTCAAAACCAACAGATGCCCATCAACAAGAGAATCCCAGATCCTCGACCTCTGCAAATCTGGCTCGCTTTTCCGTGCGATTCACCTCCTGAACTCCATACCCACTTGTAAAATCTCCTTGAAGCCAATTCTGTATGCAACTCTCTTGCAGACTTCCACCAAAGTCTTCTCCTTTAATCACGGTCTTCAAATCCACGCGCATGTTGTCAAGTCTGGTCTTGACACCGATCGTTTTGTGGGAAATAGTTTGCTTGCTCTGTACTTCAAGTTGTGTCCGGATTTCAGAGAGACCAGGAGGGTTTTTGATACTTTATTTTTTAAAGATGTGATTTCATGGACATCGATGATATCGGGGTATGTCAGAGTGGGAAAACCCATGGACTCGCTTGAATTGTTCTTCGAAATGTTGGATTTTGGTGTTGAGCCAAATGGGTTCACTTTATCTGCTGTAATCAAGGCATGCTCGGAGATTGAGGAACTAAAGCTTGGGAAATCATTTCATGGTGTTGTTATCACTCGTGGATTAGATTCAAATCATGTTATTTCAAGTGCTTTGATCGATATGTATGGGAGGAATCGTGAAATTGAAGATGCACGGCGGGTGTTCGATGAAATGCTTGAACCAGATGCCTTTTGTTGGACCTCTGTTATTTCGGCATTTACAAGGAATGATTTGTTTGAAAAAGCTTTGGGTTTCTTTTATTTGATGCAAAGAAATCATGGATTGAATCCGGATGAGTTTACATTGGGGACTGTTTTGGCATCATGTGGTAATCTAAGGAGGTTGAGGCAAGGTAGGGAAATTCATGCCATGGTTGTTAGCTCTGGACTTTGCGGAAATGTTGTTGTTGAGAGCAGCATTGTTGACATGTATGGAAAATGTGGCTCGGTTGGGGAAGCTCAATGTGTTTTCAATAGGATGTCAAAGAAGAACTCGATTTCTTGGTCTGCTTTGCTGGGAGGATATTGTCAAAATGGGGAGTATGAACCCGTTATTGAGATTTTTAGAAAGATGGAAAAATCTGATCTTTACAGTTTCGGAACTGTTCTTCGTGCTTGTGCAGGTTTAGCAGCTATAAAACTTGGGAAAGAGGTTCATTGCCAGTATGTTAGGAGGGGTGGTTGGAGAGATGTGATTGTAGAATCAGCTTTGGTAGATCTTTATGCCAAATGTGGTTGTGTTGATTTTGCTTATCAAGTATTTGTCCAGATGCCAGTTCAAAATTTAATAACATGGAACTCTATGGTTTGTGGATTTGCTCAGAATGGAAGAGCAGGAGAATCTATTCGAATATTCGATGAGATGATTAAGAAAGGGATTAAGCCTGATTATATTAGCTTTATTGGTGTTCTCTTTGCTTGTAGTCACGCAGGTTTGGTTGATGAAGGGAGAACATACTTTACCTTAATGACTGAAGATTATGGGATTAAAGCAGGAATTGAGCACTCTAATTGCATGGTTGATCTCCTTGGCCGTGCCGGTTTGTTAGAAGAAGCTGAAAGTTTGATAGAGAATGCAGGTTGTAGAAATGATTCATCTCTGTGGGGGGTGCTCCTTGGTGCTTGCACAACTTCCACAAACTCTGCCACAGCAGAACGGATTGCTAAGAAGATGATGGAATTAGAACCTAATGACCACATGAGCTATGTTCTTTTGGCTAATGTTTATAGAGCAGTGGGTCGATGGAGTGATGCAGTAAATATTAGGAAGTTGATGGAGAATAGAGGTGTTAAGAAGACAAGCGGCAAGAGCTGGATTGAAACTCCTAATAACTTGGAGTCTCGCATTGATGCACACACCTTGTGTTTGGAAGGAGAAAATAATCAATCAGGAATGGGAAGTTCTGTTTGAGGATTTTATTGTTGCTGTGATCATATGGGGTCTATTACCCTTCCTTCCTGCTTTTAATGATCCTCAAACAGACTGCTTTTGAGACAAACGGAATCATGGAAAGGAGGAGTTACAGTCCCTAACCATGAAGGCAAATGCAACCAATGAGAAAACATGGTCTTCAGGCGGCTATGAGATGTTGACTCTGATCTCGCAGCGCTCCAACCCAATCTATTTGAAGCAGCACTCAGACCCTATACTGTAGATCATTCAATTTAGCCCTAACTAATTTTTTTCTAGTGAGTATGACCATAAAACTCTTTGAGATCTCAAATAAAACCTCTTAGGTTAATTTTTAGTTGTCCGATTCAGTACGTCCTATTTGGAAGTACTATCCATATATTTTTTGCTTACCACTTGGAGCGTCTGAATATTTCCCTTCTTTTTTCTTAAATTCTTAATGTTTCTGTTGTATCAGCAATATCATGACAAGACCTATTTTTTGCTTGTACATAAAAGGCAGAACAATATATCTGCTATTGGGGCACCTAATTCCCTTGCCCTGTTCCTTCCTGTAACAATTAAACTTCAATGAAGTATAAGTTATCAGTTTTTTTGTTGCTTCATAATTTCTTTCTTCTTGTATACATTGTCTCTTTTGTTCAGTTTTATGAATACAAAATCATGGGATCTCGAGTGGCTTCCTTTGTTGAATAGTCAACTCTGTTAGATGTAATAAACAAAGAAAAAAAGAAAGTTGATAAAAGCATCCGGAGTACAGTCTGAAGCCAAAAATTCTGCTGGAGGAGAAGAATTTAACAGAATAATACACGTTCAAGAATCAACATTTCACAATAGTGGATAAATAAGGTGTACAGGCATATTGTTCTATTCCTCTATTAACATTTTCCTGCTTTCCATCACCTGGATATTGCATCCTCTGTACATATATAAACTTGGATATTTGAACGAATCACTCTCTATACAACTTCACTAAAAGAGTGACAAGTATTGCAGATAAGAAGGCGGTCTAAGAACTTCCATCCATCTCGTATTCAACTTCTTCAGAATCAGAATATTGTTTTGGTTCAAAAGCAAACCTCATCTCCTGATTAACCAGTTGGGCAAGATCCTGTCTGTTGGCGTGTCTGTATGCATCTATGACAGCCTTAAATAAGGACTGATTTGGATTGATCTCCCCATATTTTAGTTGGCTATCAATTCTTTTTATGCCTTCAATCATACCAGCTTTTCCATAACAACCTACAAGATAAATATGAGTAACAAGGTCCGGTTCTAGACCCTCATCCTGCATTCTCATGAACACATTTAAAGCCTTTTCTATTTGTCCTGATGACCCGTATGCATATATTGCAGAATTATATACAAAACAATCAAAGGCGACTTCAGCTTTCATGAATGCGTCACAGGATGCCAGTGCAAAATCATGCAAACCCACTACAGAGAAAACAGAACTGATGATTGCTTGTCTGGCATAAGGTTTTCCTTCCTGGTAAGATGATTCCAGTTGCATTACAGCTTCAACCGGAATGCCTCCTTTCTTCAATATGGTAAACAATACTTTAAACGTCCCCGTGTCAGGCAAAAGTTTCCTAGTTACCATCTCATGTAACAACTCGGCAGATTCACGTAACTGACCATTTGTGGCATAGCATGCCATTACCTTATTGTACGAAGTAGAATCCCTTAAGAACCCAGACTGTTTCATCTCTTCTGCAACATCAATGGCTTCATCAAGCATACCCATGCTCTTGTACAAATAAATCATTGTTGCAAATGAGATCCCATCAGACGTACCTTTTTCCCGCAAGTTATCAAAAATCAATTTAGCTTCGGAGACCATGCCAAGATCTGCATAAAGACCTAACATGCTATTTGATGCAACAATATCAGCACCACCCTCTGAATCCCTCATCTTCTCATACAATTTTTTTGCTCCTTCTAAGCATCCGACCTTACTATAAGCCTTAATCAAGGAAGTTAACACTATCTGATTGGCTGGAACACCACATTCTTCCATCAATCGGAAATATTGGACAGCTTCTTCAACTCTGCCAGTCTCTGCAAAGCCATTGATTAAAGACCCATAAACAACTTCATTGGGTTTTATTCCTGCTCTTACCATTTCTTGGTAAACACTCACTGCATCAGAAACCTGACTAAGACGGACATAGCTTGCAATAAGAGAAGAGAAGGTTAGACACTGCGGTTTAAATCCTGCTGCTTGCATTTCACTCAAGAGTTCCCGTGCTTCCTTCACCATATCACCACCCGCGAGCATTTGGATGATAGAATTATAAGTGCACTGATCGGGCCAAATTCCTTGATTCTTCATGCCCTTGAAAAGAGAAAGGGCTTGATCATAAAGCTTTGCCTTACCATAAGCTTTGACCATGACATTATATTCCAAAATGTCATTCTTCCCCACAAGTTTTCTCTTACCATAGAACTCAGTCTCAGCTTCAGCCCACAGGCCCTTCTGGGCATAAATATCTAATACTGCTGCAAGTGTCTTTGATGATAGCCCGCCATCCGGATGACACTTATCAAGAAGGGCTTTTGCCTTGTCAAGCTGTCGTTCATCGAGATACATTTTCATAAGAGGAGGAACAGAATGCTCGTCGATATGTATACCAGATTTCTCCATTTCTAGAATCACAGCCTCCACTTCTTGGACCATATTCCTCTGGCATAGAGTATGAAGAACAGCTCGATGGGTCACGACATCAGGGAAGAGACCGACATCCCTAATTTTCCGATAATACTTCAAGGCTGCCTCAATATCACCAGCATCAGCATACAGGGAATAAAATATGTTATAAGTCTTTGTATCAGGAGATATTCCCCTTTCGTCCATCTTACCAAGCAAAGACTCTGCCTCGGACAAGTTCCCATAACTTCCACAGGTAAAGATCATAGTGTTAAAGGTGATGGTGTCTGGTGCTACCCCAGACACTAGCATTTCAGCAAAGATATCAGCTGCATCTTTAAGACGTCCAGCTTTGCCATATAAATCAATCAAGGTATTGTAAGTAGAAGTTAGCCGTGGCTTCCTAATAGAGGCATCAAGAACCATTGAACTTCTGCTTGTTGCAATTGGACTTCTCCCACCAGTTCGAAAAAGCTCAGTTGAGAGAAAGTGCTTTAAACTGATGGGTGCAGAATTAGGCTCACGTTCAACAAAAGATTCCAATTCAAAATCATCCAACTCCAACCGCCCAACACACCAACCTTTAAAAAATCTATCTGCCTTATTGAACTCTCTGGCATCCTTCAAAACCTTGATAACAGTATTCATGGTAACTTCGTCAGGGAAAAGACCACCCCTAACTCTCATATGCTTAATCCACAAAAGTGCTTCCTTTGCAAGTCCTGCTTTCCCATAAACATCAACAAGCATTCCATAAGTATTATTAGTCGGCAAAACACCATTTTTAGCCATTTCAATCCAACAAAGCCTCAGTTCATCCCACTTCTCAGCCCTACCCAATGCGCGAAGCACGATGTTATAGTGAATTACGTTATGCACATAGTCCTTACGTGACTTGAAAAACTCAAAAACTCGAACAACTCTCTCCCAACTCTTTTGTTCCTTGAGTACAACAGTCTGTTCTTTCGGACTCAAATTCTCACAAAAAGAATTAAGGATTCTTTCAATATTGCCATCAGACTCCAGAGCCCGTAAAATTGAAGGCAAGACACCTCCGTACTTTTTTTTTCTTCCATTGATTGAAGAATTTCTATTGGGCAAAATCACAGCTTTAGAATGACACTGAAGCTTAAACCCTGGATAACTCCTGGGTCGTCTGGGGTTTTGCTTCTGGTTATCTGAACTTTGCTCACTAGTATGTAGCATACAGGGAATCGGGTAGTACTTTCTGCTATAAACGCATTGGGTTTGGAGACTAAACCCTACAAAAACCCTGGGCTTGAAAGAAGAGCGAAGGGTAGGGAGCT